TGCAAAGGCTTCAGTCGGGGATTACTCTACATGGTTTGATGTAGAGATGAGATAATTTGATCGGCATACAAACAGACACAAATCAATTCAAAGTTAGCTGCTGAAAGTTGGCAACGAGAAAAAGCTGCTAGTACGAAACCCAGCAGCCGTTAAACATGGTGATTTGTTTACGCAACAATCAAATCATAATAATATCCTTCTGTAATTATTAGCACGACGTGAGCATCTAAAAAAGTGTTTGTCAATGAAAATATGGAATCAATTCTGTCAGCATGAAAAGCAATTTCCTTTCCCCTCGGGGTCCTTATGAAAACAAATGCATTCATTTCTCCAGCAGAAAGGCAGCTGATGCAAAACATTATCCCCCAAAAAATGACTTACTGATGAGGTTCAGTCAACTGTGTGTGTGTGTGTGTGTGTGTGTGTGTGTGTGTGTGTGTGTGTGTGTGTGTGTGTGTGTGTGTGTGTGTGTGTGTGTGTGTGTGTGTGTGTGTGTGTGTGTGTGTGTGTGTGTGTGTGTGTGTGTGTGTGTGTGTGTGTGTGTCATGTATAGAAGTGCTGATTTAATATTTCCAGGTCTACATGGATTTTTCCAATCTCGCAATAATAGAAAACATGTTTTTTTTCCCACTTATGTCTTGGTAAGGAGTGGTTGCTTCCACTTTTGCTCAAGATGAGCTTTCAGACGGTCAATTTGCTGCTTAAATGTATGTTTTTGTTCCTTTTTTAAAGAAAGAAAGAAAGAAAAGGATGAAGAGTGTTTTAAGTGGAACCATCTTTTGTGCAAAGCAACTCGAAGCCTTCATGCCCTTGACATCGAGTATTTGTACATGTTCATTCAGATATCTTCTCCAGAGGAGGCAGGAATGACATGTGGAGGATTGTGTGAGTGTGTGTGAGCTGCAGCTAGGTGCGTGTTAGCTATCCCTAAATAAAAGATGAACCTGCATGTCCCAGCCCTGTTATGAGAGCATCAGGCAGAGGATTTGGGGGGGGGGGGGTGTAAAGAGGCATAAAGGTAGGTGAGCAATGTGTGGAGCAGGACACTAAGAGGTGGCTTTTTTAAAGGTCACCTATTATGCAAAATCCTCTTCTTCATGTCTCTTCTACATCAACATGTGTCCCCTCTTCTTCATGTCTCTTCTACATCAACATGTGTCCCCTCTTCTTCATGTCTCTTCTACATCAACATGTGTCCCCTCTTCTTCATGTCTCTTCTACATCAACATGTGTCCCCTCTTCTTCATGTCTCTTCTACATCAACATGTGTCCCCTCTTCTTCATGTCTCTTCTACATCAACATGTGTCCTCTCTTCTTCATGTCTCTTCTACATCAACATGTGTCCCCTCTTCTTCATGTCTCTTCTACATCAACATGTGTCCCCTCTTCTTCATGTATCTTCTACATCAACACGTGTTCCCTCTTCTTCATGTCTCTTCTACATCAACACGTGTCCCCTCTTCTTCATGTCTCTTCTACATCAACATGTGTCCCCTCTTCTTCATGTCTCTTCTACATCAACATGTGTCCCCTCTTCTTCATGTCTCTTCTACATCAACATGTGTCCCCTCTTCTTCATGTCTCTTCTACATCAACATGTGTCCCCTCTTCTTCATGTCTCTTCTACATCAACATGTGTCCCCTCTTCTTCATGTCTCTTCTACATCAACATGTGTCCCCTCTTCTTCATGTCTCTTCTACATCAACATGTGTCCCCTCTTCTTCATGTCTCTTCTACATCAACATGTGTCCCCTCTTCTTCATGTCTCTTCTACATCAACATGTGTCCCCTCTTCTTCATGCCTCTTCTACATCAACATGTGTCCCCTCTTCTCCATGTCTCTTCTACATCAACATGTGTCCCCTCTTCTTCATGTCTCTTCTACATCAACATGTGTCCCCTCTTCTTCATGTCTCTTCTACATCAACATGTGTCCCCTCTTCTTCATGTCTCTTCTACATCAACATGTGTCCCCTCTTCTTCATGTCTCTTCTACATCAACATGTGTCCCCTCTTCTTCATGTCTCTTCTACATCAACATGTGTCCCCTCTTCTTCATGTCTCTTCTACATCAACATGTGTCCCCTCTGTGGAAAGAGACTCTGAAAGTTTCAGGAACAAAGATTCTCTCTCTTTTTGATCCATTTCTATAAAAACCTGTCTGAAAATGAGCTGATCAGATTTTGGCCACTTTATGATGTCATAACGATGTGTTGTCTTGTGTAACCATTAGCCAATCAGCAACCAAGGTAACCCCCCCCCCCCCCCCCCCCCCTTATCACCTGAATCTCCTCCTAGAGCACCATTGAGTTCTTTGTAACCAAATGTCTCTCAGAGGGGCGTGGGGAGGGGCTCCTTATTTTCATCTGAAGTAACAGACAGAGAATCAGCACTTTGGAAACAGGGCTGAAACAGAGGGGATTATGGGTAATGCTGCAATGATCTGTTTGGTGTTTCAGCCAATCAGAGACAGGCTCTGTATATATCTGAGACCTGTGATATATTGATGAAAAATAGTGTAATAGTCGACCTTTAAGTGGGTCAGGGTGACAGACGCCTGCTCTCACCTGTCCGTCACTCTGTATGTCCCGCCCCTCATGTGTTCACAGCTCATCAGAAAACACTCACAGGTCTGGCAGGTTGCAAACACTGATACTGTGCGATGTGAGCAAATACCAACTATGTGCAATATATATATGTGCCGTTAATAACTGTGCAATATATACCTGGCTGCTAAAACTGTTACAGGATGTGTATTTTGTAAATTGTGTAATTTTTGTTATGCATGCTTCTTAGGTAACATTAAGCTGTCTTTGGCTCTTTTCTGCTGTAACAATGCAAATCTCTCCTCTGTGGGACTAATACAGGTTTTCTGATCTGATTCTGATGACTGACTGGGTGTATCGGACTGTGTTTAAAACAGTAATGCTATCACAAACAGTACGATATAATGTGAAATACATTCAGTGAACGCGGGGGCAGAATACTTCAAAACTAGGAAAGATTAAATAGTGAAACTCTTATCCAAGTATCTATATTTAAGGTTTTCAGAAAGTTAATTTATTTAACATTTTAAACTTTGTTTTATACTCTAAGTCTCTTACTCTTCACACTGCATAATACTACAGTAGGAATGCCTTCATATTTTCATCAATATTAATAATGTCTCGCTACAGACTAAACTAACTATCCTCGAGACATACTGAAGATTCCAGCTGAACAAAAAAGACTCTTTCATTCCTCAATCTCGCCTCAGATATAAATGTGTAATTATTGAAGCAAAAGTGAATATTTATGACATCAGAATATTTATGAAAGACAGAATAGCTGCAAAACATAATCATTTTTCAGTCAACTATCAACATTGTTGTGCTAACTATTTAAAAATCAATAAATTGGTTTGAGTAATTATTTAAATAAAAATCGAAATTGTCTGTTTCTAAATGCTTCTTCAATGGGAATATGTTATAGTTGCTTTGCTCTTCTTTGACATAGCTATACAGGTATCTAGCTATATCATATAACCTACATATCATTCATTTCAATTGTTGACAAGACGTTTAATGACCTCATCTTAGTTTACTTTTACGTTAACTAATTGATAATGTTTTGGGAAACCAGTGCATTTAGTTAAGTGACAGTGTAGATCAGGGGGGTCAAACTCAATTTCATTGCGGGCCACATTCGCATTATGGCTGCACTCAAAGGGCCGGTTGTAACTTTAAGACTATATAAAAATACATATACAAATATTTAATATATAAAATAATGTATTATTACATTATTGCCTCTGCATTGGATTATTATCGGATAGGGTAATACCTTCATAATTAACTACGTCTGAAAGCAGAAGTCTAGGGCAAATAATTGCAAGTCTCTTCAGTGAGAATGTCACAAAAATGATTTTAAAAGAAAAGCCACATTCTGGAAAAAATGTCTAAAAAAAAGTGACATTTTGAAAAAAGAAAAGTCAAATTCTGAGAAAAAAAGTCAAATTTGAGATGCATTGTGGGACATGTAGTTTATGGGCAACGTGCCTCTGTAAAGTAGCATGTAACCGTATAATAAAATCATATTTTTTGCAAGCTCTTGTGGGGCCACATAAAATGAAGTCGCGGGCCGGATTTGGCCCCCGGGCCTTGAGTTTGACACCCCTGGTGTAGATGGAGGGAGACAGAGGTGACTACAAGCAGTGAATTGTCAAAATGTACTGATATTTTATAGACCTAAAAACCTAATCAAGAAAAAAAGAAACTGATTAATCTACATGATACTAATCGATAGTTGCAGACTTGTATAAATGCCCCCAAAAAATGTCTTCTCTTTACCCAGCATGCCTCTCTTTACCCCCCCCCTGCTTCCTAACCTGGCTCTTAAAGACTTGGATGAGAGGATAAAGCCTCTTGGCGTTAGAAGAGGGGCTCGTGCTTTGTTAGCCTAAAAGTTTGCACGGGAAAATTGCACCCATGGGAGAGCGGAGCAGGAATACACCACGGAGTAGACAGGGGTAGGGTAGGAGTTATTTTTAACTTTTTTGTTGCGTTGATGCTAAGTCATCAGAGTCCTTGTAGTGCCGAGCAGAGAAGAACCCTAAATGGTTTCAGAAGTGAGCGAACAAACATTTCTCTTGCTTTCCACATTCAGGTTTTTTAAACTCCTTCCAAATATCTGCTGCTTGAGGAGAGGAGAGAACCTGCTGATGGTGATGGTGATAGCATGTGGTATCTAAGTGTTATTTTTGTACATAGTGTCCTCCATTATCCCGGTGTATCAGGCTCCATTTTGTGGCCCATTACTGAGGAAGAGGAAGATGGTTCTAGAGAGGAGTGCTTCAAAGAACAGAAGGCTGGGCAAGTGGCCATTTCTGCTTTAAAATCATCATCTCTATTGGCCTTTTGGTTGTACTTAATCTATTACAGGAATTTGGTGATGATGTTTTCGTGTTTATCCGTGCATGTGTGTGTGTGCGTGTGTGTGTGAGTGTGTGTTTTGCCTTGCCTGCTATCGGGGAAAGGCTCGGTGATCCACGCTGCCTGCCAGCCTGGTGCTCTTTAATGAGATTATCAGGAGAAGAGTGTCAGTAAGTAGGATCTAAAATGAAAGCCATTATGGAGCATTATCACAGAGCCGCACCCCCTCCCTCCCCCGATCCATCTGCTGTATGGCCGCCCACACACACACACACACACACACACACACAGCCACTACGCCCAGATTACAGCCATGATTAGCGCCGCGAAGTGCTGCTTAATTTAAAACACCTCTGGAGAACATGTGGCGCTTTGCTGACTCACAGCGCTTGAACACACATGGCGAAGATATGGATTACTTTACTGTAGAAGACAATACGTGGGCTGTGTGTTTGTGTACACTTGTGTGAAGTTTTAATATCATATTTAACTCTAAGGATGTGTGTCTACATTCAATTAATCACACAGCGACGTGTTGTATCCACACCTTTTGATCTCTTGTCAAAAGACTCGTAAGCTGTCTGTTTCATCACTATAACTACTTTATTATTCTTACATATCTACCGTTATTTGACTATGAATGCAAATATGATAATCAAGATTGTGACAGGTGAACAAAATAACTAAATAATTCAAGTTTGGCTTCCAGATAAAAGCGCTTAAAAATGAGTGGGAATTTACATTAATGCATACAGTATAGCAACTGGAGGGGATTTGAGACTTTGCAGACCATTTACATGCACACAAACCTATACAACACAAATGCATAATAGGACTCATGTAACATATGAAATATCAACTATTCAAAAACATGTATTTGTTGAATATTATACTTCAGAAGCAGGATGTTGTAGTGAATTGTTAGACCTTAATGAGCCAGATCAGGCCAGTTAAAATAGTAATCTAGAAAGCAATGTGATCCATTTCCTCTGTCCTTAGGATGCCTTTGTTGACTTGCAAAGCATATTTTCTCATTTCTCTCTACTTGTGAGCGTCACAGTGAAGTCCTTTTGATTTTCATGTTGTTTTGTGAAACACATGACTCGTTATAGGCTTAAAAACAATCCTTTTAAAGTGTCTTCTGCCTTTTCAAAACCTATTGGATGCACCTGAACTGATGTGAAAGCTAAGCAGATTATTTCCTTTAGTTCTCGATATTTAGATCAGGGGTGTCCAAACTACGGATCGGGGGCCAAATGCGGACCGTGGAACATTTGAATCGACCCTCAGCAAATTCAAAAAGTATAATGACTTCAGTATAATAAACTTCTGCTTGTCTTATATTGTACTTCTTAAATATATATGTTCAAATATATTACACAGTAGTATTCATGTGTTAATAAGTCCACTTTTCAAATGAAGTCAATTCAAGTTGAAAACAGGTTCTAACAAATCTAAGTTGATAAGAAAAAAGCCCAATAACTTATTTTCATAATAACCTTGAAACAAACCCTTCACATTTCCTCTTATTATAATCAATCTGAAGCTTCTGTTTTAAGGAATGAGCTGCTAATGAAATAAATGAAACCCTCTGGAGAGCTGTGAGGTGTGTTTTGCTTACAGCATTTTCAAGTATCAAGAATAATTGACCTACATTGGATTGATTTTTCAACTTCTAACTGAACTTATGAGGCAATATACCTCTCCGGAGTGGCCCAGCCCTTCGTATATGTTTCTGTATGTGGCCCTCGGTGAAAAAAGTTTGGACACCCCTGATTTAGACAAACACAAGCAGCAGTCTCTCCGCTGTGTACCTGTGATCTTGTCGCGGACCAGCTTGCAGGACTCGATCTCTCCGATGCTGCCGAACAGGCTGCGAAACTCCTCCTGGGTCATGTTCTGCGGCAGGTAGTTGACGATGAGGTTGGTCTTGCTGTCGTCGTTTGATTGGCCGGTCTGCATGGGCGAGGGGCAGCCGCGGCTGTTGGTGGTCGGCCCGTTGGACGTGTTGCCCCCCCCACTGGGGCCGTTTGTCACCGGAGCGTCCATGTTACTGATGATCTGAGGGCGAGGAGGAAGGGAAGAGATAGCACTCATTAGCAAAGGAAAGGCAAGGTTATTTATACAGCACCTTTCAACACAAGGCAATTCAAAGTGCTTTGCAAAAAGGAAAGACATCAAGAGCATTAAAAAACATATTATAAAATGGCATTTAAAAACACTCAAAGCAACATGAATTAAAGTGACAGTGCAGTGTGAGATACACACATCTGAAATGCTTAGCTCTGACTCTCAATGCTTGGCAGAAATAGTTTTCTTTGACATCACTTTCTTTCTTAACTTATACTTTAGTTATTTCAAGTGTTTCATGCTAAACGAACCCCCCTTTGGAAAATTCTAATCTGACCCCATGGTACCTTTTTAGTTTTCACCGAAACTATTCCTCTTTTTTAAATGCACATTAGTTAAGTTTAAGTTGTCTTTCTAGGACAAGGCAAATAAAGCACACTGAATATGTAGCAAGGCACGATGAAAGAGTGATTTATGTTGCATTAATCTGGGTGAAAAAGGTCTAGTCCCAGACATGGTTTGAATACAATACAGTGCATTCATGTTTTTAAATTGCAATACAATTATTTATGTATTCTACCTTACAGGGTTTCAAATGTAATAGCGTTATTATAGAACAATAGATTTTAAAATCATTCTCTCAGTTTGGAATACATAGCGGTATTTTTACTTAAACTACTAAAGTAAAAGTACTACATTGTCAAAGTGCTCTGTCACAAGCACTCAAAATGTTACTGAAGTAAAAGTACAAAAGCATGAAAATATACTTAAAGTACCAAAAGTAAAAGTATTTGTTATGCTGTAGGCTCATTTCAGAATTGTATATAATAATAATAATAATAATAGATTAATTTTGTTAGCGCTTTTACAGGTGCTCAAAGACGCTTTACAGATACAGATTTACAGATACAGTATATATTTAATTACTGGATTATATTTATCAGGGTATATGCAGGAATCCTGAAATCAATGTAATACCTTTAAAGACCTTTTTTAAGACCCTTCCCATACATTTTAAGACCTCATCTCCACTTGGAGTTCTAACCGGTTACCTTGGCGACACACTTCACCTCACATTGACTATATACAGTATTGATTGTCCTTCCTCCTTATCTTCCAACCATTTGGACGCAGACTTGCATTTCCCCATAACGATGTTGTTTAACAACCGGCGTAAACGGACCTTCGCGCTATCAAGCAGTGAGCGTGCGATGTCCTGTTCAGATGACGTCAAACCCAACGGGATGCCATCAATAAACTACACAGAATCACACTACACACCTACGCCATGATTACATTCAGGCACACTGTAGAATACAACCTTTCTGGACCATTTATATACTTATTGAAAACAAGATACAAAATGTAACACCTTGGAAAATGCCGTTTAATACTTTTTAATAGCCTTCATTTTCTCTAAATTGATTTATCAACTTTTAATACTTTTTAAGACCCCGCGGACACCCTGAGTAATACATATGCATTTTTAGGTTAATATTATACTATGTTGTAAATTATATACATTTGTCAACCAACAATATTTTAAAATGTTTCTGTTATTGTCGGCAGAGTTACAAATTAGTAGAAATAGTGCTTTATAACAATATTAGATTTACAGGATTTTGCATTAGTGATTCAGTGCCTGACTCAATAAAAAACAAAAACGTACTTTGAATTGCTAAAAAGTAGTATTTGGGAATGACAATGTGTTCAGTGTTAATTTTGTGAGTAGTAGTTCTGTCACCACATGATCAAACAACATCTAATATCTAATTAAACACTAACATGAAATCACAAACTAAACGTAAACACGCAGAACATGCCACATGTCGAAACATCGATAGAAACGACACAGAGAGGATACACATCTAAATATTTATGAAGCCAGTAAGAGGCATCTCTAAATGTTCCTCTGAACGCAGCTGAGGATTGTGGGAGGGGCAACAAATGACTGACTGCTGATTCTGAGACAGAGACGTGTGCGTTTTCTTATCGGGTTCAGCAGAGCATCTCAGGATCAAAGTGTTCAAACGCACCAACTGTGAGCTGGGTGCGAGGAAACAGCAAAGGGGGAGTGAGAGTGAAAAGTCGGGGGAGGAGGAGGAGGGAGGGTGCACTTTCCACCAGAGCACTCCGATACATATTTAATACAAATGCTTACTCTGAACTAACCTTAATCTTGAACGTGTGAGGGGGAATTATTCATACATTTGCATAGAAACATTTGTTTGATCGAATTAATGGCTTTTGTTGCACATGTGTGATTGTGTGTGTGTTGAGCGGATTTAAATTGTATATAAATTGTGGGAAGATAAGACAAAAAGAGTGAGCCATTCTGTCATGATTCATGCTTAAGTCGGGCAGCTAACTGTTAACCAAATAACTATTAAAGGGGCCTATTGGGCTCATTTTTTTAGGTTCCTATTTGTACTGAGACATGTCTCCATGCTTTAATGCGGGAAGAAATACTTGACAACCTCCCATCAGCAACAACAATGGAGCTAAAGGCGAGCGAGGCACTGCCCCCTGGAGCAGACACCAACTACGCAGTGTGGAAATGTCTAAACAGAATAAGATCTGGTGTTGGACGTGCAAAAGCCACTCTCGCCAAATGGGGATACCTAAATGACGGGGACGTTGTGTGTGACTGCGGCATTGAACCACAAACCATGCAACATCTCCTGATATGCCCCCTGCTGGAGCAACCCTGCACAACATCGGACTTGGCAGAGTTTAATGAGAAGGGACAGCAATGTGTTCAGCTGTGGCTGAACCACATCTAACCAAGCCACTGCCTTGTGGACACGATAAGAAGAAGAATGTTCAAAAAGCTCTTTATTTTTCTCATACTGCCTGTGCTGCAGCACCTCTTTTCACCCTCTGTCTGAAACCAGAGCCCAGTCTGCACTGATTGGTTAGCCGGCCATGATTTATAGAGGCGAAGTCCCGCCCATCTACTTCCGCTCCATGGGACCTTATTTCTGAAAAAGTATGTATTGAAGTCAATGGAGAGAGAAAGCTTATCTTTCCATCCCGTTTGAATTGTGCCACGAATTACACATATGATGTTATATGATGAAATAAGGTCCCATGGAGGAAAGGGAGGGACTTCGCCTCTCGATAGAGATGTCCCGCCCCTATCAATGTGTTGGAGCGCTAGCCAATAGAAGGGCGAGTCTCACATAGTCATGTTACTATGTTCCAGAAGTAAACAAAGGAATCTAATTTGCCTTTACAGACCATTTACATGCACACAATAACACACTACAGGAGAGGGAAAAGCCCCAATGCATAATAGGACCTCTTTAACTCGGTGTATCATTTTATTATCTTATTCTGTCGCTTTTCACTGTCAATATATTCTGTGCTCCCAATGCCTAGAAAAAGCCCCGTCCATTTAAACACAAACATACATCATGCTACACGAGCCCTGGAACCAACCGTCTGAAACCCAAATAAAGATTGAAGTAATAATTTATCCAATTCAATGAAACAGTAAAGTCATAACTAAAATCTCTCCCTTCCCCCTGTTCAGCCATTCAGCGCTCGGTCTATATTTAACCGTTCTTCAGAACACGCACACAGAGCTGGAAGCAGGGCTGGTTTTAGCAGAAACAGAACACGTAGTTTGCTCTATTTCTGGATGATCAAAAGGCTGGACCTGTGTTCTAATAATATATCTCAAAGCGTAATTTTAAAAAATTGTCCAGAAATAGTTTTCAAAAACCATTTGAGACATTTACAGTGCATGTTCTTCTTGGCTTTAATCATTTTACTTGTATCTAGTCTGCGTATAGTAAGCAGGGAGGATGATACATCAATAACAGGCATGCAAATAACTCTTACCAAACAAATACAATATCAATTTCCTATGTTCAATAGAATAAGAATGGCACCAATTACAAAAAGTAAAGAGTATGTCATTAATTGTAATGAAAATATCAAGATTTCTTAAAAATCCTGTAGTCTTTATTGCTTCAAACTGTATATATCTCTAACTGTAAATACCTGTGCCTATAGAGAACCGCAGTGACGCGTCCTAAAACCCGGAAGTAAACTCCTTCCGGTTCCTCCAATTCAATCTCTCCATAGGGTTTAGGAAAATAGCTGGAAATAAGGTCTGTGGTTGAGACTCATTGAAGAGACATATCACGTTTTGTTCTACATTAAATCCATCAGCAGTGACCCCACTGGTGATTTCTGAAGAGTTGACGTGTCTGAAAAACGATGGTTGTTACCAAGTGGCTGAATAGGACTACAGAAGTTGTCGAGGCCGTTGAACGTCATTACGCCGAATTTGTTTGCCCTGTTCTGCTTGAAAGCAAGTCCCTGCCTCCTGCAAAGTGTTCAAACAAACGCTTCAACTTGTACCATTTATAATCTATATGTTTGAATATGGATCTTAAGTCGGCGTGACGTTGAAGCAGCGACCCTGCTGAAGTTCGTTTATAGCATAACGTTAGCATTTTCTTCTTGCGACTAGATTTATGATTAGAAAATTATAAAAGTAGGATAGACATGTGGAGATTATCCGACTGAACAAAACGTGACCCGTCTCTTAAATGTGTCTCAACCACAGACCTTATTTCCAGCTATTTTCCAAAATCCTATGGAGAAATTGCATTGCGTTTTTGACGAAGGAACCGGAAGGAGTTTACTTCCGGGTTTTGTTGTAAAAATTGCATAAAGGGGCTCAAAATATCCATTTATCTCTGGTTCTAGGAAGACCTTTTAAAAAAGGCTATATTTCTCTATTGTTCATCTCTCCCTCCATCTCCTAAGTGTTTAGGAGTCGCCGCAAAAAACTGTCAGTCTTTAATCTGCTTCACACACACCCACAAACACACACACACACACGCTTGCATACGCGCAGAGAGAACAATGGGTCCAAGCCCACAGCAGAAAACAAACAGACAGGGAGATGTCTAAAAGCTCTCAAGATGAGAGCTGCATGCAAATTGTTCTTTTGACAGTATCCCTTCCTCCTCACTCACCACTCCACCACAACAGAGACACAGAGACCGACCGAGGAAGAGAGAGAGAGAGGAAGACAGACACGGAGAGAGAGGTAGCAGAGAACAGTATCCAGCCATAACAGAGTTGATTGGAGAGGGCCTTATTAAATCTGTTTACATTCCCCGCTGTGGTCCATTCTGTCGGAGAGACTTTCAACTCCATGGGACATTTTCTGAGGAGTCTTTCCACCAAAATGGCTGCTTCTAATTAACAGCGACCTGCCGAGTCCCAGTGGCCAATTATATCCCTCTCTCCCTGACCCTGCCCAACAGCATTTGTGCCGCTCAGCAGTCCACTTGATGTTGCTTGTGAACACGGTGCCCCCCCCACACACCCCCCCACTGTGCAGCCTAGTGCTGTGGACAGGAGCTCATGTCCTGCTGACTGAGGACATCTCATCCCTCGCTCCACCTCTCAGACTCGAGATGCAGCGCCGCGTTCTCACAAGTTGTAATTCCTCACATGTAGGAGAGGCTTCTGGATACGAGAAGTGCACGTGTGAGGCGGTGGGCATCATACGAATGTGCAGAGAGAGAGAGTCAGGTGGAATTTAAAAGGTTTATGATTGTAAGTCCAAAGATACCTGATGTTCATAAAACTTAAAGTGAAGCATCTTAAGAATGACATTCGATTTGGATTGACTAGGCGAGACATTATATATGACTTTTTATATTGAATCCTATATCTTGTGACACACAGTTGCGTGTCTTAATTGGAAATACAACACAATCTGTACAGAATATTTGATGTGAAGTATTTTGAGGGAACATCATTAAATGATTGTAGGGCTTTAAAATAAATCTGGATGAATACAGAAATATGATGTGTTGCGATACTCTTAACTATTCTCTCACACAGTTGTTATTATTAGCAGTATAAGAATGCAAAGACTAAGGGCAGTTTAGATTACACAAAAAGCATGAGGTTAAAGGGACTAAGAACATTACACATGTAGATACAGTGTTAAAAAAATATATATGTATTGATATTATATATCCCTTATGGAGACAGTAAGAAATTAGCTTTATCCCCATATGAAAGGCCTAACTTAAATAATGCTAAATACAGTTAGAAAATGAATAGGAGGGACTTACTTAACAATCAGCTGCCCATTCATTTTGCATTAATAGCTTATTAATATGTATTTATCACAGTATTTATTATGCTATATATTGTAGCAGGGTCTATGCAGGAATCCTGAAGTCAATGTAAGACCTTTTTTAAGACCCTCTCCATACATTTTAAGACCTCATCTCCACTTTGAGTTCTAACCGGTTACCTTGGCGACACACTTTACCTCACATTGACTATATACAGTATTGATTGTCCTTCCTCCTTATCTTCCAACCATTTGGACGCAGACTTGCATTTCCCCATAACGATGTTGTTTAACAACCGGCGTAAACGGACCTTCGCGCTATCAAGCAGTGAGCGTGCGATGTCCTGTTCAGATGACATCAAACCCAACGGGATGCCATCAATAAACTACACAGAATCACACTACACACCTACGCCATGATTACATTCAGGCAGACTGTAGAACACAACCTCTTTGGACCATTTATATACTTATTGAAAACAAGCTACAAAATGTAACACCTTGGAAAATGCCCTTTAATATTTTTTAATAGCCTTCATTTTCGCTGAATTGATTTATCAACTTGTAATTTGACTGTTTTGACATTTGACTTAAACTTATTTTGTTAGTTAGTATTTTCTTTTTCTTATTTTCATTTATTTTGTTAAAAAATTCAGCAAATGTTACAGAAAAAACTATTTAATCTTTGATCAATTAGGTATTCTGATTCTGACAATGACTTATGATATTTCGAATAGGCTCTAATGCGGCAGAAAAGGGTCGAATCAAAGTAAGTTATTTCAGTGATCTTCAACAAGGAAGCAAAGGTCGATCCAAATAGCCCACAGGTTCAGATTTGCATGTGTTAATGAAACGTTCAAAGCACAATTGATTTGCAACAGGCTAAAAGCTAAAACATCGATATGTGCGCATAAATTGAAACACAAGCATTTTTTTTTATTGGCTTCCCTGTGTGCACAATGGATGAAGACGTCAGCAGCTGAATATTGCTTTACCCTCATCTCTCAGAATCAGTTTATCACCAGGTCGGTTGACACGTACGAGGAATTTAACTTGATGTCGTGGTGCATACGTAAAAGTAAAACACAAATTCAAAAACACAGATAGAGAACTATTTTAAGAAAACGTAAAAAAAATATAGTCAAATATAGCAGTGTTTACAAAGAGCACCGCTTCCTCCACCCTTACCACCATCCATCAATCTCTACTGCACCTCCACTCTCCGTCAGCATCACAGAGTATGTATGTAAACACAGGACAATATCAGATTACATGACTTCATGAGCAATGACAGCAGCGTGGTCTCCTTACCATCTTTGGCTGCGTCAGCAATCCCTTCTCTGCCCAGCCCTGGAGCTGTGGGAGCTCTGCCTGACGCCACTGTGTCTCTGTCGACCCCTAGGAGCACAGAGGGGGAGGGGGGGGACCGTCAGCATCACACACTCACTTTACAACGTTAGGGGTGCACTGGGATTTGGGGAGCAGAGGAAGGAGGGGGGGTGATGGGAAGAAATGGCGACTCACTGTAGAGGAATACAGCTAATCGTTAACAGTTATTCCACCAGTCGAGTTCAATAGACTTTTACAATCTATTCATGTGGTTAATTGCTGTTACCTCAATACGTTTATATGTATTTTATAATACAGCTTAGGGCTGCTCAATTAATCGTATTTTAATCGCAATTACGATTTTGGCTTGCAGCGATTATGAAAACAACATAATCGAAATAAAACGATTATTTTATTTTTATTTTCAAATAAAAAGTTCTTAAAGTTCAGGGTAATCAATTGTTAAAAACATTTCACATTTTATTTTTCAATAAATGGATGTTTTCAAAGTAAATGGATAATCGTTTTTAATAATCGTGATATCAATTATTGACCCAAATAATCGAGATTATGATTTTTGCCATAATCGAGCAGCCCTAATACAGCTAAACCCTAACAGTCCTTCCACCAGTAGGGTTTAATATAAGAGTCAGGATTTGTGCTTGTTTGGTGTCTTTCGCACTGGGATTTGGGGAGCAGAGGAAGGAGGGGGGGTGTTGAGGAAAATTGGCGACTCACTAGAGGAATACGAAAACAACTATTTATCTAATATATCATATTCCAATAACTTGTATATAGACTAGTCTTGCACTATTGTATCTGTGTTATTGTGTTGCACTGTTGGAGGAGCCTGTGACCTCAGCTTCTACACTGTAGTACACATGAACCATAAACGCCTTGAACCTTGAATCAATCTAAACCCTAACAGTCCTTCCTTTAGTCGAGATTAATATGAGACTCAGGATTTGGTGTCTTTTTACAATCTATTAATGTGGTGAATAACTAAGTGTATGTGTTCATGCAGTATTTGTTACCATGGATGTGTACAGTACTTGATGGATGAGTATATTTAGTGCTTGCCTCTTCACTCTATTTGAAATGTTACCCTACTATTATACTCTTATTTGTGACATGTTTGCACTGCTTCTTTTTGCTGTAACATTGTACGTTTCCCCGCTGTGGGATAAGGATGGGTTTCAGATTATGATTCTGATTGTAATAAGTGACATATCTTTAAAGGGAGACCCAACATTGTTTGAATAAAATGTCTTTATTAGGGCTGCACAATTAACTCAAACTGTATTTCGATACAATATTGACAAACTATGTGAAGATATCATTCTTAGAAGAGAAACCTCACCTACAATAACAAATAAATACACATAGAAAATATCTTGTTTGGTATGGATCCTCTTACAAATATAACATCTTCATTTTTTTAAATAAATTGAGTAATGTGAGCTATGTGTCAAAAATGATGATTCAATCTAATATCTCAAATTACAACCCAATTATCGATATAATCCTAATGAGTTATTCTTTCCAGATTGTGGTCTTCATGCCGATAATGAAATAGCTCAAATAGAAAAGGGTATTTCTTCAGTTGTTTTCAAGCTTGTTTATCATTTCATTGGATTGAATAAAATGTGTTGAAGCTGGTATATTGTTGTGGCATCTGCAATGACCTTGGTAGAGTTGTATAATGAGGGTTTCCCTGTTGCTCTCTGTGGGTAAACAAGCCTGTGGTTGAAGAGACAGCAACACCACAAATGAGCAGGAAGCCTGTGCGCTGGCTTCAGAGCAGGGGGCTTAATGCCTGCAGCGATATACCGAGGCTACACACAGCCAATTTAGCAGGAGAGGAGGGATGACCTCTGCCTTCATTTACTCCTTCAGAGAGATGAGGAGAGGGAGTGAGGGATCAGATGGGAGGGGGAAGTAAAGGCAAGGGCTGAGTAATGGGGAAGACACTTCCAATACTTCAAAGAAAGAGGGAGACAGAGGTGGGGGCGAGACTCTGTACATGTTCTGTTGTCAATGTGTCTTGTAAACTTGAGCAGGAATGCATAATGGAGGTCTAAATGGGAGTGAACTGTCAGCTTGAAAGCGAGAAAGAAGATTCAGAGGGGCAGGGGGGTCAGGGGAGAGAAGAGGACAGGGTATATTATCTCTACAAACAGACAGCTGATATTGGGATATTTTGGGAGTGATCGTTTGGAAATATGGAGTTCAGCCACCGTTTGTTTTAGTGTTGTGACGGCAGAAAGGGTTGCAGTTGATTCATGTTTTTTTCTACTTGCTTAATCTGACTGGGATACATTGCGTAGAAGCATTAGGTTGTTTTAATGTATCGAGGTTTTAGCTGTGAGGTCAACATGATGCATTTGTGCCAAAGCTAGTGGGGCGTGTCTATACTTTTTGAAATAGAGCAGACAGTGGCAGGGATAGTTACACCTCTGGAGCCAATATAAATTCCCCGCCGGGAAATGTTGAGTCTGTAACTGGTACTTGGTGCACATCCCAGTGCTAATATAGCAAGCGCTAAGTAGGTCTTGAAAGCAGTGGCTGTATTGTTGCTTTTTGGGGCTTTTATTTTGAAAAACAAGCCTAATCATGAGCTCTGAATAAGGATTAAGATGCTTTGAAGGGCTTATATTTGGAGAGACAAGAAAAATCCTAAGCTTTCTGTTAAGATTTTTAAACTTTCTCTGCTTTTATTTTGAAAACTAGCTTATGCTTAGAATCTTTTTTGGATTTACATACATTCTGGGGCTTTTATTTTGAAAAATAAGCCTAATCATGAGCTCTGTGTAAGGTTTAAGATACTTCCAGGGGCTTTTATTTTGAGAAACAAGACAAATCCTGAGTTCATGTAAAGATGTTTATACCTTTGGGGCTTTTATTTTGAAAAACTAGCTTATTCTTAGAATCCTTTTTGGATTTACATATTCTGGGGCTTTTATTTTGAAAAACAAGCCTAATCATGAGCTCTGTGTAAGGATTAAGATGCTTTGAAGGGCTTATATTTGGAGAGACAAGAACAATCCTGAGATTTCTGTTAAGATTTTTAAACTTTCTCTGCTTTTATTTTGAAAACTAGCTTATGCTTAGAATCTTTTTTGGATTTAAATACATTCTGGGGCTTTTATTTTGAAAAGCAAGCCTTATCCTGAGATTTCTGTTAAGATTTTTATACTTTCTCTGCTTTTATTTTGAAAACTAGCTTATTCTTAGAATCTTTTTTGGATTTAAATACATTCTGGGGCTTTTATTTTGAAAAACAAGCCTTATCCTGAGCTTTCTGCTGAGATTTAGATACAGTTGATTCAGGGGACCAACATGTTTTGAATGGAGAGGAAAGAGGACAATCTGTATGGCTGGATTGTATATGTAAAGTTTTAAAGCTACCCTGAAAAAAGGAAACGTTAGGCAGAGGTTTCAAACATCAAAAGCATTTCTCCACCCATTCTGCAAAGCCGTCATTTGATCAGCCGTTTGAAGGGAATGGTGCGCCGCAGCAAGCAGACAGAGCAGTGTAATCGTAGCGTGTACAAATGTGGTGATACAAATGTTAGAAGCAGCAAGCAGATGCATATGAGTCTCCATTTCAACAGCCAACACACAGTGCAAGGGAGCATAATGTCGGAGAAGAGGAATATTACATTTTCTCAGAAGTGCGTTAAAGTCTCAGTGCTCAATATTCAATGCTCAACCATTCGAAAAACAAACAGTCGCAGGCACACACACACACACACACACACACACACACACACACACACACACACACACACACACACACACACACACACACACACACACACACACAGTTGCGTGTTCTGATAACATATCAAATAACACTGAAATAAGGGCGCAATGCAATTACATTCACCAACCATTGAGATGAAAAACCGCTCATGGATACTTTTTCAATTATTCAGGGAATACATTTCAGTCGGTGCTCAGATGCTGGGAAAACGTATTATATAATCAATACACTCTATAACGCCATTAATATTTGATGCCACAAAAGTGCTTCCTGTCTCCTTGGGCTCCCGGCCAATGGCGTCTGGGTATTTCAGTACAGGACGAGCCCTACAGCAAGGAAGGGGAGTAAACATTTGTTTTCCTCTAACAGTCAAACGCAGCGAAGGCAGATTTCTATTAGATTTACTGTGAAAACTCAATTTTACAGAGCTTTCTTTCACCCTGTGCACAAAGACGATTCCTGTCTCTTGTCACTTTTGGTAGCAGCTATAATTGAAGGAGTGTTCTTCTCGAACCTTCGTCGCTCCTCTGTTGCTTTTACAACATCAGAAACCACTACCTGGCGCTGCCTTACTCCCCCCTTCTCTCTCTCTCAGAGCTTAGACAATCAATTTGCCCTGACTGGGCCAGGAGGGATGGAGGCTGTAGAGACTGCGGAGTAGACAGTTTGCTGCAGGATCTCTCCTCTGATAGACACTCTGCCTGGCAGCTACAAAATGGAGCCAGCATGCAACCATCTGACTCGTTAGATGTCCACTCACCATCTTGATTCAGACATTATTAGTGATTACTTATGTCTCATGTCTTTTCATTTGGTTCATTGGCTTTGTTCAAACGATGGTCTTAAATGTAGGGCGTAGAGAGAAAATCCAATATCACAATACCTCTATTTGACGATATGGTAGGGTGGGAAAAAGGCCTTTTACTAAGAGGTATTTAAGCATCAGTGATCTCCATACTTTGTGGAATATGTACACATTTAAACAACCGGGGAAAAAACAAGTTGGCAATATTGTTGTTGCTTTCATAAAAAACTACACAGTGAGAATTTTGATAAATATTCCTCCATAGTGTGGTGTTAATAAAACGGCTGGTATGATCAGAAAAGGACGTTGCTGTACTGTAATAGATGACGTTAAATAATAATAATAGATTCATTTTGTTAGCGCTTTTACAGGTGCTCAAAGACGCTTTACAGATATAGTGAAAATAACAAATAAATATATATAGTTAAAGTTAAAGACCACAGTTATGCCAACTAATCATATCCTTAGACAATATCCAGTCTCATGTCGAGATATCCA